CCTGACACGTTTGACACCCCTAGATCTATTGGTTGCTAGTTATGTTCCTTATGGTGGCCATTTATGTTCCTATTTTCAGATCTCTAGTATCAGAGGCCTTCACAAAGGCTGCTACTTGTCATAGGCCTTCACAAAGGCTGCTGCTTGCCATAGGATGACCTGAGTATTCAATATCGTCTCACCTATTTTCCTGTTGGTTGGGTGTTAACTGTTGGCTAAATTGATGGCTTAAGGTGATAGATGTTGCATGAACAACTAAGGGAGGTAGTTTATATTTGGAGATTTGAAAGGAAGGATACTTTTCGAAGAACTAGGGAAGTTGATAATCTGACCTTTTTTGACCATGAATACTTGTTCTGAATGTATCATGTAGTAGTTAAAACCAACTTTGTATCCAATGGCATGATTTGTGCTAGTCCTTAGTTGTGTTGAATATAGGTTTCCATCTGTTTAACTTGTGGTGAATGAATTTTTTGTGTTTTCAACTCCATTATCTTCTATTTTATTTAATGCTGCTTGTTTTCCTGCTTTATAAGCTAACATTACTGATTCTTCTAATTTCCAATAAATCATCGTAAAAAATTTCCTTGCCATGTCAAGAAATGTGGAATTTGGCATTTTTGGCTGTAGGTTGGTTCAATTGAAGGCAGGGTGGGTGTACATCACCTTGATGATTCACAACAAAGTAAAAACTTCACCTTTAAATGCCACAGGGAGGGCAATGAGATATACTCGGTCAACTCACTGAACTTCCATCCTGTAAGTTTTTATTCTGAAGGAAATTTTCCATAATCTAAGATTACTTTTTGCTGCTGAACCTCTTCAGTTTATATCCATGTAATGGTGAGATCTTATTATTTTTTCGGTAACTTCTGTGAACCTATTATTATTCACAAACGTATGCTTTCCAAGTGTTGGCTTTACTAGTATTGACTCAACGTTCAAAGGTAAATAATTAAGCTGCATCATAGTCAAGTGGAATTGCTATTTGGTTTTGTTACTAAGTGAATGCGTACAGATGTCCCAATTATATATGGAATTCTTCCAACACTTCATTTCAATGCTTTGTAAATAGTTGGGACATTATCTCAAGAATGGATAGATAGCGAGCTTATGGTTTTACTAACTCTCATCTCTCATTGTCACTGGGCATCCATGAGAAACTCCCTGAGCTGGGATCTTTGATGCTAGGGTTATATTCCATGAGCTTTTAGGTAGTGGTGCATCTTGAATTCATCAATAATGAGTCTACTAGTCTATTGATCCCTGTGCATAAATCCTACTATCCTTTTTGGTTGCTGTCATACTCGGTATGAGCATGTTCAAGACCTACCAGTAACATATCATCTATGCTTCTTCAAGAAGACAGTTTGCTGAACTCTCAAAACTGGCCAACTTTTTAACTCACGACTGCTTGTACTTCCTTCTCTCTCTCTCTCTGGTTTTACCCCGAGGAAGCTCAACAGCTCACATTTTTCTTCATGCACAAGTGAAACCACTAGGTTTTGGGCTGTATGCACACTTGTTTTGGGATTAATACATGGTAAACCTCTTTCCTAAAGTATTATTTCACAATTATTTTTTCCGAAATGAAATTACCCAGCTTAACTGTAAGTAGATGTTTTCAATTTTGCTCCATGTTACTGCATTTGCTTTCCAATGTGTTGTTTTCTAGGAATTTGGACTTCGTAGCAAAGATCATATAAAGATTGTGATGAGTGTAGATAGGGGTGTCCATGGGCGGGGCTTGACCAGCGAATTTTTTTTTGGGCCGAGCTTGGGTAGTGTAGGCCCAGGCCCGTACTCGGGCAAGTGTTGGGCCGGGCTTCGGGTAGGGGCAGCTACCCGCAGTCCAGTCCATCACCTATTGGGCGGGCTTTGCGGGCGGGCTTTTGTTGGGTCTATTGGGTGGGCTTTGTGGGCGGGCTTTTATTGGGCCTGTTGGGCGGGCCTATTTTGGGCAGGTTTTTGGGCCCTATTAAAAAAATATACAACTTCATTTAATTTTTTTATAAATTATATTTTTGAATTAAAAGTATAGTCAAAATCAAAATGGACAAAAATTAAATAATGAATAATTTTATTTACGAATAGAAGAGAAATTGCATCACTATAGAATGAGTATATCCCAACTAGGTTGACATCTACCCACCTATCTATCATTTGCACAATTCTACCCATTAAAGACTTTTGTACATGAAAAGCCAAAATATTTAATACATGAAAAAAATACATCAATCTTAATATCTAAATTTCTAAAACTTCAAATTCTGACATTGGAGGATTTATTTTCATATTTTGATCTCTCGCTTCAGCAGCATACCAATCTTAAAGACACATAAGGGCTTCCACTGTCTTTCCATCCAAGCAACTCCTATGCTCATCAATGACACGTCCACCTGTACTAAAAGCAGATTCGGATGCTACAGTCGACATAGAAACTGTTAGTATATCACGAGCCATGGTGGAAAGAATTGAAAACTTACTTTCATATCCTTTCCACCAGGCCAAAATATCAAAATAGGGATCTTCAACACTTACCATTGGAGCATTGTAATATTGCTGAAGTTCAGTTAACTCCCTAGATGTTGACATACCTCCTCTGTTCAAAATTGAAGCTAGCATAGATGTTTTACCTTTACCTTTACTTTTGCTACTACCAACAATATCACTAGAAGTTGAAGGGGGATTAAGTGCACTACTATTTCCAAATGTTACACTATATTCATTAAATTTTTTTTAAAAATATTTTATTTTATTCATGTGGTTCATGTGCTCATCATTTAAGTTACCATATAAAGACATAAAAACACTTGTAAGACCAAATTCTTTAAATCGAGGGTCAATTAACATACCAAATCCAATAAGTATAAGAAGTGGTGAAAAGTATTTATTAAATTTAGATTGCATATTATGTAAAATAGTAGAAAATTCGGGTTCATTACTATATAGTTCAAAAAGATCACTGATACTAACTATATGAACATAGACAAGTGTAATAGTTAGATAATAATTACCAGATAAAGTCATGGTTGACTCATAAAAAACTTTTAAAAAATCTTTCATTTTATCAGTGGCATCCTATTCCTCTTCGGTGGGACGCGATAATGAACCGGTGATATCTATACTAACATAGTCATTTAAGACAGTTTTATATTTAACTGCCATATCTAGCATTTTATAGGTGGAGTTCCACCTATGTTGTACATCATATGATATTTTTTTGCATTTTAAATTATTTTTTTTACACATAGTTCCAAATGTCCTAAGTCTATTTTTAGAACCTATTATATGATAAATAATGTCTATTTTTATCAATTATATATCTAATATCATGAAGACCACTTTGTACTATGAGATTTATAATATGACACATACATCTCATATGAAAAAAATTACCTTCACATGGTAAAGTTAAATAACATTTTAAATGACTTACAACCCCACTATTATTTGTTGCATTATCTAAAGTAATAGTAAAAATCTTGTCTTGAATACGATAAATTTGTAATTGATTATAAATAACTTCAAAAATAACTTGTGCACTATGATTATCTTCAATCCTTGTAAAAATAATAATTTTTTTTTGCATAACCCAATTTTCATCAATAAAATGAGCAGTTATACATAAATATCCTAATTGTTGGCAAGAAGTCCAAATATCAGAAGTCAAACAAATTTAACTTTTAAGATTATCAAAATAAGCAATTAAATTATTTTTTTCTTGTGCACAATATTTAATAACATCTCTTTGACATGTTTGACGAGAAAACTTTCGGAAGGAAGGATTAAAACCACTTTGTAACATTTTTTCAAATTCAGCATCGTCTATAAGAACAAATGGAAGATTTCTTATAACAATTCATCTAACAATTGCTTTTTTAACAGATTCAGGTCCATAACTAAAAGTGCTTAGTGTACCGGTGTTAGCAGATTGTGATAACATTGTTTGTCTAATATCAGTTTGACCTCTTAATAAACATGTACTTAGGTGTCTAGTTAAGTGACTAGTTCCATTTTTAAAGCCTCTAGCAAATTTTTTTTTACAATAATTACATATAGCCTTTTTTGATGTAATGACTCCATTAGAATTCTTAATTTGGATTTTCTCAAAGTGATCCCAAACTTTAGACTTTTTTCTTTTATTAGATGGTATATTCTCAGTAGAATCCATCTCAGGAGTTGAAAATAGATCATCCCCTTCACCCTCATTGTTGTTCTCATTATCATTATCGTTATAAAAAATATTTTGTGAATGAGATGATGTCATTATGTAAATTAAACTATAAAAATAAAATAAATACTTAAATTATGTAAAAAAAAATTTCTCACAAAATGAAACCACTTGACAATCGTGACTTGTGAGTTGTGAACAAATGAGAGTTTCGGTCTTGAGACTTCAGAGTTCAGAACACTTGATAATTCTGTGAGTTGAGAATAAGTGAGAATTGTGAGTCTTGTGACTTATGAAGTTGTGAGTTAAGACTTAAGAGCAAATGTATTTATAAATTATACATTAAAAAATGACCGTTTCTTTGTGACCGTTGATTATATAAGGAGTTATGAGTTATGATTGTCTTCTATCTCAGGCCTTAGCCGCTGGCAGTCACAGTGATAGACTTACACTTGCAGTTGGAAAAGACAATACACAATTGAGACAGTAGCCGTGTAAATTTAGCTGTTTAAATTTATTTGATGTGGATGTGGTGCAGTGGTGCTCAGTAGTAAGTTGTTCAAATTTGACGTTGTGGTCTGTGGTCAGTAGTTTAAATTTGAAAACAAAATTTGTGGTCAGAACATATTGACATTGAGTTCACACATCACCCAACTTTCAATGCTCACCAAACTTTCAATGCCTATAATTATATTGACTCACCTACCAAAATATTTGACTCACCTATCAAATTATCATTTTTTCTTCTCATGGGCGGGTTATTGGGCTGGGCTTCGGGACGGGTATGTGGGCGGGTTATTGGGCCGGGCTTCGAGCAGGGTAGTGGGTTTAAGGGTAAGCCCAAGCCTTTTTTTAAAGGACATCGGGCTCAGGCTCGGGCGGGCTAATTATCGGGCCTATCGGGTATCAGACTTATTTATTTCGGACCGGGTAACGGAACCTGTGGGTAACCTGGCTCATGGACACCCCTAAGTGTAGATGATTGTTTCAGAAATTATAGCCATATTTCATATTTTTTTACTTCCTAGAATTAAATATTTTGGAGAGACCTATTTGATACTATACTTCGATGCTACATGATACCATGCCTTTCTGTCTGTGGTTCTACTACTGTGCAAGACCTTTTTCTTTGGTACTACTTTGCAAGATCAACCATAGTCTCCTTTGCTTCAGGTTCATCACACATTTGCAACTTCGGGATCTGATGGTGCCTTTAATTTTTGGGACAAAGATAGCAAGCAAAGACTCAAGGTAGTTTCCAACACTTTTTGCTTTGGGATTATTAGTCCTTTACATGTTTAGTGTTCTTGGTTTTTACCAATTCAAATTATCTTTAAAGTTGTGCTTATGAAATTGACAGATAATACATAGTTTTCATTGAGACCAATTGTTCTCACATTTGCAACATTGTCATTACATTTAATCCTTCTCACTCTTGTCATATTGAAGTATGACTTCACAATCTACCATTTTCTTCATTGTAACTTCTCAAATTGTGGCTTCTGTAATTTTGATATACTAATGTCAATAAAAAGATTAAGGTTTTTTGGACATCCCATAAAAATGGATGGTTTTATGTGTTTTCCAAATTATAGGGATTTAATTCTGTTTTTCAGTTATAATTAATAGAATTTCTTCTGCAAGAATGAAGTCGTTGCATAAGGAAAATACAATATTAAATGTGTTTCAATCCTGGAATTCCATATTCCCTGTACATGATACATGAGAAGTTTCAAGAAGCATGGGAAAAAGGTGAATTCAAGAAGTTACCGGATTTTTCATTCTGTTGGGAACCAAATACATCTTGTGATGAATTGCTAAATCTGTTAATTACCTTGGATATATTAATACCTGGGAGCGGATGAGACTTTTGTAACTATTTTTGCTGTCAACTATGCCTGTTCTTGTTGGGTGAGATTGTGTTGTTCTTTCTCGTTACTGACAGTATCCTTTCTTTTGAAAATAAAATTTTGTTGTTAACTTTTTACCCTGTTCTTTGTAAACATTATCTAAGCAGCTTTGCCAATGTGAATTGGTTTCTTTTCTTTTCCTTTTTCTTTTTTTTTTTTCCGTTTCTAGTTTGTCCTCTCTTTCAACCATAGGTTCAATGTCTATGAATCTCTCTTGCCTGTTTTGGTAAACCTGTCTTGTGTTATCCAGTTGTTGCCTTTGTTTTTGGGATGCATTTTTTATGCAGCAATTCTTGCTGATTGTTTCAATGAAGTTCTGATCTGTTAAATCTCCAATTTTGGTTATTTGGTTTGCATTACTGCTTCTAAATTCTATTTTTAGTTGCTTTGGCACAACGATAAGGTTTTCCATTGTAAACTGGGCGTCAAGTGTTCAAATTGTGAAAACAGCCACACTCGTGTGCGGTATAGTGACGGGAGCCTATTGCCTATGGAAGATTTGATTGTCAGATTCTTTTGTGGTCTGTTGGTTTTCAAAGGGGAATTATTTGAGGTGCTTCTGAGACACATGAACACATGTTCCATTTTTATTCTTATACTCTTCTATATAGTGGATTGCCCTTTTTTATGGTAGTTGTTTGGTCGGGTGATTTGTTGTGAATGCGTACCTCATTATGTTGTTATCAGGGGCACGTAATTTGCTTGTATGACCATTCATTGGAGTTAACTTTATTGGGCCATTAAATTGTGTGTTAGTTGATTTCATTTTTTTACATGTATTATGGTCGGTCTTTTTGCTTGCCTACTGGGATGTCAACTTCCGACTTTGTATCAATATAATTTATGGTGCTTTAGTTTTCCAAGCCTATATGCCAAAGTCGATAGATGGTTATAAGTCGATACATAGCATGCCAAATGTATTTACTGTACCACTTGCTGACGAGCTTGATATGCTATCATGTTTCTTCGTTCCATTTCTTTAATTTCATCTTGTCTGATTTTTATGCATGCTATGTCAGAGATGCTGTGCAACACGTTAGAATGACACACACATCTCATTTGTCTAATTGTTATCCAGGCTATGTCGAGATGCAATCAACCTATACCTTGCAGTACCTTCAACAACGACGGCTCAGTATTTGCATATTCGGTATGTGTTGGGCTGATTTGATGCTATGAATTTTTATCATTTGGGTATATTTGTCTCTCTCTCTCCCCAACATTTTCTTGTCTGTAGGTTTGTTATGATTGGAGTAAGGGTGCAGAAAATCACAATCCATCAACCGCAAAGACATATATTTTCCTACACTTACCACAGGTTCATTACCTCATGTGCATTATGACTATTTTTGTTTCTAGTTTTTTCTTTTAATTGAAAAATTAATAGTTCCTTTCTGTATATCATCATTAGTGTGTATCCACCCAATTGCCTATTTGATGCAGGAGGCTGAGGTTAAAGGCAAACCGCGAATTGGAGCAAGTGGCAGAAAGTGAACTGCTTGTCATCATGTCAAAGGAAAGAGTTTGTGCGGTGTTGTACATGGAAGGTGTTTTTGGTTTTTCTCTTGTGACTGCTCATATATAAACTGGATCTTGCCATAGGAGTTTTCAGCTCAGACGATGTTCTTGAGGTTTTTTCCATCAACATTTAAGTTCCCGTCTATAGATAGTTGTTTTTCTTCAAGTCCACTATCCCATGTCATGATGTTTTAGTGTACTATGGTGTATATGTTGTTTATTTACACTATACGAAAATTTTCTTTGATTTGGTATATTCCAGTTCTGAAGTTGTACTCCAGATTTGTCAAGACAATGTTGTTGTAGCAGCTTTGTTGCCATCTAAGTGGTTTAGCGCATTATAGGCATATTTCGTGAGAAAATTCTTGACAGCAAAATTGCCTATAAAAATGCTCTTCCCAACACCACTGTATGCTCTCCAAAGTTGTTGGGCCCGGAAAGTGATAGATAGTTTATCCTCATTTTGTAGAGGTGAACTTTCAAACTCGAACCTGTAATGTATTGTGATGTAATGCTGCACTTGATAGGTCTGAGCCACGTGCATCGAGGTTACTTTCGTAACTTTGAACTCTTATTTTCATGAACTGGAATCTAAAACGGTCCGATTCGTTAGTTAGACCGTATAAGTAAACCAAACTGCATGAGAACCGCTAAATCGGCTGCTTTTTGACCAAAGCTGTAAACGGCCAAGTTTTGGTATTCTAAATTGCTCTCACATGGGCAGAGTGGTGTTAATTAAATATGTTTTGAATGCTTTGCCTACTCATCTACTCTCTTGTCTGAATCTTCCAAAGGGTATTTTGGTTAAGCTTAATTCTGCAATGGGTCATTTCCTCTGGTCTAATTCAAAAGATACCAAGAAGAGACATTGGTGTTCTTGGAAAAAGGTATCTCTGCCATTGGAAGAAGGGGGTTTGGGCATTAGGAAGTTTGAAGATATCCAAAGGCTTTTAGAATGAAACAGACATGGGGTTTGTTGCAACAGAATTCACTTTGGGCTAAACTTTTTGCTGCTAAATTTTTTAAGAAGGGGCATATGCTTACTAGCTCTGGTCTTTCCTATTCCAAAGGGTATCAGGTGTTGTCTCCTTGGTTTGACATTGTGGTCAGAAATTCTAAAAGACTTATTGGTTCAGGACAGCAGACAGACTTTTGGTGTGATAACTGGCTTGGATCTGGGGCTTTGATTTGGAAAGTGTAAGAACTTCCACTAGTATTTCCTAAGGTTGCAGATGTCTACGATGGTAATCAATGGAAGCTTGAGGAAGTTAATCACTGGCTGGATAATTCTATGTGGCAAGAAATTGGTTCATTCTCTGTAGATTTAACTACTAATCCTGACCAATTGGTGTGGCTGCTGACTGAATCAGGTTCTTTTACGGTTAAATCTGCTTGGAATCTAATTAGAGACAGAAGACAGAAGAATACTGTTTTAACAACCCTTTGGAAGCAGCATGTTCCACCTAGTGCTTTGCTGGTTGGGTGGAAGGCGTTCAAGCAAGCTTTACCTATGGATGTAAGCTTTCAGAAAATTGGGGTTTCCTTGGCCAGTAGATGTCCGTTGTGCTATGAGTGGGAGTAATCTTATTCTCACATTTTTATTGATTGTGCATATGCAAGGGAGTTGTGGAATAGATTTGCAAGTATAATGGGATTTTGTTTAGTTCAGCATGAGCTACCGATGATGAGATTCTTCAGACTAACTAGGGCCTTTACTAGGAATTCTTATTGCCATTCATTGGTCAGAGGTATATCCCTTCTCATTTTCTGGCAACTGTGGAAGGAAAGATGCCAGAGACTTTTTGAGGGTACTAAGACTCACTCTTCAGGTCTTATATCTGTTATTTTAAACTACTTAAAGTTACAAGGATATGTAGTGAGACCAAAGGCTGCTGATTCTCTACAAGGTAAGTTATTGTTGTCTGAACTTAAGGTTCCAACTTACTCTACTTTTTTCTATAAAGCTTTATGGATAAAGTGGGAGTTTCCTCCGGAAGGTTTTCTTAAATTGAATACAGATGGAGCCTCTCATGGCAATCCTGGAGAGGCAGGGGAGGGGCTGTTCTGCGCAATTAATGGGGCCAGTTAGTAGCTGCAGGATCATTTTATTATGGGCATTGTACAAATATGGAAGCTGAGAGTAGAGCTATGTTAGATGGTTTGATCCTATTGGAAGATTATGGCTTATCGGTTTATTTATTTATCATTGAATCAGATTCTCAAGTGCTCTTGGATATGCTTTCAGGAAAAATAAAAGTTCCATGGAGGCTAAGGGAACTGACTAATCAAATCCCTAGGAGGTTGAGTGCTTTGTCTTGTACACTGGTTCACACTTATAGAGAAGGGAATATGGTAGCCGACTATTTGGTTAGGAAAGGGGTGGCGGATAAAACAGAGTTTCGAACTGCTTCATCCAATTCCATCCCAGCCCAAGCAAGAACTCTGATTTTACAGGATCAGAGTCAGCTTAGATCATTAAGGCAGAAGAAATCCTGGGTCTATCTAAACCCAGGAGGCCAGGAGTGCTAAGGCAGTAGGAGAAAATCTGAAGCTAGTCAAATGGTTTGTTGCAAAGATCAAGATATTTCATCAGGGCTCCCTTGTCCATATTCATTCTCAGTTGTCATATATGATAACCCTCGGCTTGTCTCCAGGCTCATACTAGCTGTTGCTCATGGTTAATCATTTAAGCTTCTACACTCAGCTGGTATCTCATTCATGACAGTGGCTGCACTCTGAGCTGCTACTCTTAGCTCGTTTAGGTGGCATACATAGTATTTTTTGTTATTTCATCATTTTGTATTATGCATGCATTTTTCTCCCTTATTCCTTTTAATGTGATTAGATTGCATCGAGGGGTCTCTTCCCTAGTTAGGTTAGGTGTTATTTAATTTTTAATCAATAAAATTTCTCTTTTCTTAAAAAAAAAAAAAGTTTTGAATATCGGATTGTTGAATCCATTCGATCTTTGTCGCCTCTCCACTTCTCAGGTCTTATTCTCCATGCTCAAAGATGGAGAAAATGTCGTGGATTTGCACATCTGGTGACTGGTTTGGTCTAGTCGATCTCCCTCTGCTCCTCCTTTCACGCTACCGTCTGGTGACTAGTCTCGTCCCTGAGCAAACCATGGCTTGGAGCAACTCTTTCTCCTTCTCCAGTCTCTCTCTGGTCCTCGAGCAAATCTTGGTTCTTCGTCTATGTGCTATGCAACTAACACACACACACTCAACTGCTTAAACTTCTTGCCTTGGTTAAATCACTTTCTGTAAGTGCTGTCCAGCCCAAGTTTTGGTCTTTGTGATTGTTGTCCTTTTTATTGTTAATTTTATTGACTTTTTATTTTTCATGTCAAGTATTAAGTGAACTGAAAGTAGTTAATCAAAACAAATCCAAGATTTCTCTACTTAATTTTATCAAGTTTATGGTAAATTATATGCATTGGGACATGCTTTATATTTTTTTACCTAAATTATTATATTTATAATTTTTTTATATTTTTTTAATTCTACGACTGGTTCAGTTGAACCAGTGAACTGTTGATTCGGTCCTTCTACCGGTTTGATATCCTGTCCAATTCTGATAATATTGCAAATCAACAATAGAATAATTTTATCGCTAGGTTAAGACCCAATTTTATCACTTTCTATTGAATCTCTATTGTTTTCAGAGCTTTAACTGTCAAATACCCTATTCACTTGAATGTCTGAACATCAGTACCATTTCACTAAAATTTTCAATATTTTAACAACCGTATAGATTGAGATTAGTGATTTGTCTAATTGTCACCGTCTTTGATGTTGAACATTAAGGTTGCGGGTTCAAATTAAAAAAATTACTACGGTACAGATTCTGCATTTATATCTTCCAGAAATAGAGGAAGGGAAAACTGCTTTACAATGCACTCGAGGTGAGTTATGATTGCTTTCAGGTAACAATTGTAATTATTCTTTGTAAACAATTTTCACTATCTGAATACATAAAACTAAAATACATTGCTGCTTCCACAGCCATTTTTGCTTGTGCACTTGAAAACTCTTAATGCAACCTGCAACCTGCAACCTATGGACATTCAGTACCGTCAAAATTCGGACAACTGGTATAAACTTGACAAGGGAAAAATTATGAGAGAGAGAGAGAGAGGGAAGAAAATCATATGCACAAAGATGGTAAAATTCAATTCCAAATATGAAATGGGCTTCCAAGTGATTTCTATATATGTGCCAACAAGAGAGCCACTAAAGGATCATCTTGGACCGGACAATTCATCGGGACGGAGATTGGAGGTGGAATCGGCGATGATCCAATCAGTATTTGGGTGGTGGGTGTGGTTAACCTCTTGCCGGAACATCTCCTCCTTCTGCCACTCTTCCCACCTCTCCGCCAAGCCATCACCTTCAAGCATCCTAACCACGTCTGACATCTTGGGGCGTTCCATTGGGGAAGTCTGTGTGCAGAGCAAAGCTACCTGTATTAGCTGCTCCACCTCTTCATCAACATAATTGCCTTGAAGATCGGCGTCAACCAATGTTTCCAACTTCTTTTCCTTCAGAAGTCCCTTTACCTGAAATTTTAACAACAATTAAAGTTTCCAAAGAGAACGATAGAGGTCCATATGAAGCAATGGATCTTCTGATTAATTGGTATCCCTGATTTTTTTGATTATTTTCCAATTAGCGAGAGACACAAGATTTGGAGGTACTGTAGATGTCTCAATGCAACCTCTAGATTAGAACACCAATAACTGATTAATCTTCTGGTTAGAAAAGCCATCTTGCAATTATCATTGCAGTGAACAATGTCTTTGGATACAAAAGATTGTAACTTTTATTTGTGTGATAGGGCAGGGCAACATTCCACACGTAAACATCAAGAAAAAAGACTTATTTTGATTCATGAACAATAATTTATTTATTTTTTTTGAAAAGTTCCCCTATATTCATATGCTTTCCATTAGCAATATTCAAACAAGTTCATCCACACGAGAGCCAACTCAATATTGAAACATAAAAAGAGTCAAGTAATATGCTAAAGATAACAAACATATGGGAGGATGAGAAATGCTTACCCAATCAAGCAACATGACATCATCATCATTGGCAAGTCGAGCAAGGTCGAAAGCCCTCTGCCCAGTGATGAGTTCAAGAAGCATAACCCCATATCCAAAAACATCAGTCTTCTCTGAAGACTTTCCGGTGGAGAGGTACTCCGGAGCTATATGCCCAATTGTGCCACGTACAGCAGTGGTGACATGGGTATCCTTATAGTCCATGAGTTTGGCCAACCCAAAGTCTCCAACAACTGCTTCAAACTCCTCATCTAACAATATGTTTGCAGCTTTGACATCCCGGTGAATTATCTTAGGGTCACAATGATCATGCAAATAAGCAAGGCCCCTTGCAGCTCCCAGTGCAATTTGCTTCCTTATTGGCCAATCAAGTGGTGGCTGTGATTCACCTCGCTCTGGAAAAATTGTCAATTAGCTCGTGAGAATGCCATTGTAGGTGTTAAGCACAGTTTGGGACAGGTCCTAAATTTTGGGTTTCAAAATTTTCAACATTTTTCCTTATTTTTGGACAATCAGAGTATTAGACTTTCAGATACCGGACAACCTGAATAATTAAAAAATTAATAAGATAAAACAGGTCAAGAGGCCAGCAACCTTTTACCTCTTAAACATGATGCAACACTTCCATTAACCATGAACGGATAAACAAGCACCCGTTCTGTTGGTGTCATGCAAAAACCACGTAAACGAAGTAGATTTCGATGCACAGCCATGCTGATCATTTCTACTTCTGTTTGGAACTGCAACTCCCCACCTTGAGTACGCTCCTCTTTTAGTCTTTTTATTGCCACCAGAGAACCATCAGCCAAGCGACCTTTGTAGACCTTACCAAATCCACCTCTACCAAGAATATTTTTGTTGCTAAAATTATCTGATGCAACTTGTAGTTCACGCAAAGAGAACCTCTTGAGCTGTCCTAGATGAACTTCAGGATCCTCTTCAGCTGTAAAGAGAAGTAAATGAGTGAGAATGCATTACATAGAATACAATTTAAAGGCTACCCCCAAATAGAATCACTAACCAGGAACATCGAAGAAATGATCCTGAGGTTTCCTACGTCGCCACAAAGCAAGAGCAATTGCAGGGGCAGCAAACAGCAGAGCAGCACCAGCAGCAACTCCTCCAGCAATAGCCCCAGTGGCACTATTGCCCACTAGAATAAAAGTTGAGAATAACCAACACGTTGATTAGTTTTTGCATTCCAATTATCAAAAAAAAAATTTACAGTAAGTTGATTACTTTTGTATTCCAATTATCAATGAATTTTTTCTCTGGAAGCAACCCCAAATGACTATGACGCAACAGTGATTTCAACAGCATAAAATCCTTCTCAAGTCAGAATAAAAACCAGATTGTGATTGTTAACCAGCACAACAGTCCATAATTAACCAGCAATGAAGTCGAAATTAATTCAATCAAACTATGATCTCTTTCAGAACAAACTGTTCAGAATGGAGATCATATAATTTTTAGAAATAAACATGTTAATGATCATGCATAATAGATAAATGATAAAAGCAAAAAATCAACCAATGCTGACCAGGGACCCAGATGCAAAAGCAATTTTGTTCTATGGCTCTCTTGTTACAATTGCTTTTAAAAACACAAACTGGCGAAGTTCACTAAGAAATTTAAATGATAAAATGTTATAAGAACTGATGAATAAAAAGTGAGCCAAGTCATCCACAACAAACTGTATCATGTGATGCACAGCAAAACTTTGGAGTTAAAGAAATAGGAGCTAAAAATGCTGGAGAAACAGTGCAATTGCTACAAGCATACTGATAATAATAGGGGAAGAGAGAGGCAGGCTTATCAGAGACAGTCTAGTCTCTTTCAAATTCAAATCCTCAAATCAGAACCAGCAGCTGGTGCAAGCCTGGAGCTTAAGTGAAGATGCTCTCAATTGATCAAGGACATCATGCAACAGTAACAAGGAAACTGTACAATTTAGCAGGTAGTTTACAGCATTCTTAACCACATGATTGTGATTAACAGTGCAGTTAAGGTACTCCCATTAGAGCACCTCTCATATATTTGTTTTTCTCTATGTTGATTATAAGGGAATCCCGTACTACGTGGAGGAGTGAATTGTATACTTCTGTACCTCAAGCTGTAACCAATTATTCACCCTAATGAAGTTCATTTACTTTCCAGAAAAATCATAAAAGGAATTTAAACCAAAAAAAAAAAATGGAATTTAAACAAACCTGAAGAAGAAGATGGTCTTGGAGAAAGTGGAGATGGTGGCAAAACTGGAGCAGGTTGCAACTGATTATTAGCAAAACTAGAAGATGGGAACTTGACAGTCAGCATAGAATCATGATGGGTCACCCAACTATACCATGGAAAAAATATATAACTTGCAACAAACCTTAAGGAAGTGAAAAGTTGAAAGGAGCCATTGACTGGAGTTGGTCCTGTCAAACGGTTGTTTGACAGATCACTGCATTCCACATGGCAATACAGTATAATGTCATACTCTTTCCACACTATAAACCCCGAAAAAATTGACCCACAAGAAAAAAAAGCCTTTATTCGTGACAAAATAAGGCATAAACTTCCCACTTACAGAACTTGAAGTGTAGCCACAGTAGTTAGAGACATAGGAATGTTTCCTGACAAGGTGTTGTTGTTGAGCCGACTTTTCTTGCAGAAACAGTAAATAGAACAGACTCCATTAGATTGCAAAAATCAATTCAGTTTGATAGATACGATTTTCAAATATCACAACATTCACACATCAATAAAATTGCAAGGAGCACAATTGATCCACAATTAACTAGTAGATGCCCATCACAAAAGACATATACAACTCAGCAGAGCTCATTGTGGAGTGCCTGCAGTTTTTCACGGCACAATTTTTCACTATCTAGATGGCTGAATTTTGGGTGAATCGCGTCATCCACAGTGGATGCATAGGTTGTATCCATGATGATTTTTTTATGCCCAAAAATGGTGCCTGGTTTCATCTGGAATACAATTAATTTAAAGATGCACTAACTTTTACTACAAATTGCTTGGGTGTATAATATCTATCTCTAGAATTTTCTAGTAAAAGGCTATAACAAAAAAGGATGCTCACACTATGTAGCCGAGCAATGTTTTACTGCTAAGAGGTGTAAGCAGCAAGGACAGTTGAAGTCATACAACTTAACGATAACTTCCTGATGCAACTTCCATCCTGGCTTTTTTATGGTGTTTGATGTTTTGTGTTGGGCTGGGGGAGGATGATAGAGATAAATACAGACAACAAAAATATGTTCGTAAATAAATAAATAAATAAATATATATATGTATATATATATCATATAGAGAGAGATGAAGGGGGCAAGATAAAGAAGAGGAGAGAGAGGAAGCAATACGAGAGCAGGAGAGCCAATTAGAAAGAAAAAAGAAACCCATAAAAGAGAGAGAGAGAGAGAGAGAGAGAACTCCTTTCAAAGTTTTTTAACATACTGAAAAACCACTTTACAGCTTCATAAGGCCCTAAAAACCCAAACAAAACAACCTAATTATACACCATATGGTGACAAATGATCATTCTGAAAAGACAAATGATACAATATTATTCCGAAAACCTCTAGAACCGAAAGAAGGCAGTAATATTGTTCAAAGAGACTTCCTATACCAATGAACAAATTATCTTCTATCCGGTCTTGCGTCAATTTGGTGCATCAACCCCCACTAGTTGAAGAACTCTACTACAACTTTACAGTTTTTACCCTTTACAGTTTTTACAGCTCTGAATCCATTCACATAAGAAGTCAACAAAATTTCTTCACCTTAATAGCATCTTTACATATTCCTTAATTCATGAAATATAGATGTCCAATGGAAAAAGCAACACTCAACTCACTGTTTCACTAGTGTTTTTTTATCAAAGGTCATATTTTCTGTTAAACCATAAGCTATCATATTTTTGTTTACTACCTCAATTCAATGTTAATTTCAGTCTACCTCTACCTCGCATTGCCCATAGTATGTACCAGATTACTTTTTATCACCAATGCAATACTAGGTTTTCCATAAACATGTCCAAACAACCTAAGTCGATTCGATCTTAATTTATCTCCTATTGGTGCTACTTAAATCTTTTCATGAATACACTCATTACATCCATCTTGACATCATTTTTGCAACACTTAATTTCGGGTGTGTTGTTTCTTAATTGCATGACAATCCGTACCATCAAGCCCAGTAGGTCTAATGATTGTTTTGTAAAACTTAGCTTTCAACCTAAGTGGTATCCTCCAATCACAAAATTGCTCCAGATGCATTCCTCCACAATAGTCCATCTTACTTTAATTCTCTAATTAACATTGCCTTGAATCTCCCCCTTCCTTCCTACGGATAGTTAACCCCAAGTACCTAAAATATTTGCCAATGGAAAAGGAAATATGAACAAATATATGTAACCGTTTGAGATTTCAACTATACTTTCACTTGAATGTTGGCATGTACATAAATTCCCAAGAAGGAGATAAAGAGAACAGAGGAAAAGAAAAGAAAATTGCCAAAAGATGTTAGAGAATTACACGAGAGATAAATAAAGAAACTAGGACAAATGAAATCTAAAAAAGGAGGGAAGACTTCGAAAAGAGAAAACAGAACAAAATAAAACACAAGAGATACCAAAAACCACAAGAAAAAAGGGGAGAGAGAGAGAGAGAGAGAGAGAGAGAGAGAGAGTGCTTTCCTTAGTTTTCTTCATGCATTAATCATCTAAAAGGATAATCCAGTTTTGTATCAATAAAGCCAATCTATAGATAAATGAAAAACTGCTAAATCACAACCCACCCTCAAGATAATTTCAATTAAGAAAACTTACAATAAGAGTTGTAATAATATATACAAACCGATCTGCAGGATCTTGCATCAACTAGTGTGCATCAAATCTCTTTGAAACTACAGTTCAGCCGTCCTTCACACCATTGTTTTAAGAATGAAAGTTGGGAACTTGTGGGGAGTGTGCAAGGTCACAAAAAGTAGACTGCTTTCTTTTATTTATTTGGAGTAATTAACAAATAGAATCAAGAAGTATAAAAAATTTCAAGATTAGGTAAAATTAAATGATAATTTTTTTTTGTCATGTTTAGCACACTAATAGTTTCTCCCATATTGTTTTGCCAAGGTATACCATGAAATAATTTTTACTTTTATCTCTCTGCTCATACTAGTACGATCCAATTGAGCTTCCATTAAAATTGCTCAATATTGGTGACTTGTTGAACTCATTGTTTCTTCCATTGTCGTTGTTGTTGATTGGGAGACTTACTTTATCATAAACTAGTGGATCTCACCATATCCCTTTAAGAAGCAAGCTGATGCTTCCTCTCAACCTACTAAAGCTGGGTGCCAAGAATTAGCAATTGATGACGACCCCCCGAATTTTTTGAATCTTATAGTTTTTCAACGAATGTATTTCAAATCATTCATTTGCTTCTGAAATAATAAAACCAGAAGCACTTCTTCTAGTTGGCCATGAGCAAAACAAGAAGTATTATTTTACAAGATAATTGAACTCCACCAATCTTCATCATAGAACATCAAAGGGCTCCATGTGGCTACCTGCTTTTGAAATAGATAATTTTTTGTTGTCTACTACATCATGCTTATGAAAGAAAGAATTTAACTAGACTCTTTTTGTAATGCCCCAAAATATACATTTAAAGGCATTAACTATTAATACAACATCTAACCATGAGGGGCATCTAAAATAATCATTAAATAATAAAATCAACTGTCATCTAATTGACAACTAAACAAATTCCAAATCAAACATAATAACTCCTTAAAGTTAAATCCAAAAGTCAAAATAATAATCCATCAACTAAATAATAAAAAAATATCTCAAAACATTCATAATTCAGAATTATAAACTAAATAAACATCTCCAACCCTCAAAATCTGGATCGACATCATAATCCACATCTGCATCCGTTACTAACCAAAACAAAATACCATCAAAATCCTAAAATAGTCTATAACGGCATCGTTGTTAGCTAACATATTCATCCCAAAAAGTACACCAATTCTTTTAAGCTAGCTAAAACTCATGAATTAGACTAAATAATCCATAACCTAATTAAGCATTAACTCACATTTCTTATAGTTCCAAGAAGATCCAAGCCTAACGTTCCATTTTTTACTACTATAGCACCAATTCACCCTCAACTAATAAAGATTTAATCCCTAAAAAGATTCAAGCCTAGAATATTTTTCATCCTATAACTGATCCTTTCACTAACTAATCCACAATCTAAAACTCTCCCGTAAGATCTAATTCCTAAACACTGATACCAACTTCCGACTCTATTTTGACCTAATTAGAAGTCAATTCACGAAAATTCTATTAAATACACTTTTGTAGCCCTTGAAGTCTAGTTTCTACTGTGACGACCTGTATATAAATTAATCATTGACATACTAATTAGGTCATCAATTATGATTATATAAAATTAAGAATTATTTTTTTAAATTTTAAATAAATAAATGGACTTCAAATATGAATTCTTTATGTGAAAACAAGTTAAATGATTATAATATAGGTTAAATTTCGTGTTAAAAATAAAATGTGATTGTGATATAATATATGAGTAATACATATAGAATATATGTGAGTATATATGTATACACACACACACACACACACACACATATATACATAACAATAGACGTGGTCTATTAGAAAAAAAAAATTATTAGGAACAAAATATGGACAACTGTCCATGATGATGCAAGTTAGCATGTCACATGGTGACGTTGGGGGGGGGGGTTCTGGCTATAAATACATGCCCTTGGCCATTCGAACAAGGCAGCAAAGAGAAAAAAAAGAAGAGAGAGGAAGAGAAAGAAAGAGAGGGAGGGAGAAAGTAGAGAAAGAGAGAAAAAAGAAAAAAAGAAAGAAAGAAAATAACAAGATATTGGGTTCAAAGTGAGATGATGATTTTAGTCTCCAAATCTATAAAAGTTGTCTATATCGTTATTAGAATGATGGTAATCAAATTTATTGATATCTATTGGTGATTTGAGATACGGGGTAGTATACAATATATTTCTGTCTTTTAAAATCTCTTTGCAAAGAATGTCCTTTGATTATCTGAAATTTGTATTCTTATTGATTATTCTAATTGATGCGAAATTCCGTCAATTTTATTGGTTGACCTGTATTTGAGCTAAATATTTTAGGATTAATTGGTACATGTACGAAGTGTATTTGAAACATAATTAGTGAAATGTGATTATGGCTCCTGCGTGGTGTGATTGTGATTACAACTTTACGGGGTGTAATAGTTCGATATGAGTATGGAATTTAAATGTCCAAGTGTCATTTGTCATGTCACCGAGATAAACCAAGTATGAGGCTATTTTGGATAGAAATTGAGCTATGTGCCTTATCAAATTGGATTCTTAATTCTTTTTTCTATGATTATCTATTTGATCATTCATATTTTTCTCGTTGAGTATATTGTTTCTTATCATATTGTATACTTCCTCTCTTTTAATATTTTTTTCAGGATAATCTCGGAGGGAATAACCAAAGTTGATATTTGAGGGATCGAATATGGACGAATCTTGATATAATTTTTAAATTTTATTGGTATTTAGAGATCAAAATTGTGATTATCATTTATTGAGGCAATTAAAGCTTTGTCCCTGTATTCAAAGATATTTGTAGTTTATTGTGATTAATTGATTTAATCAAGCAAAACGTCCAGGAAAACGGGGCATTACATCTACAGTCCAAAAATCAGGTCAATAAGACATCGGGGTAAAAAATTATGATTAAAATATTAAGATAGTGTCTAATTTCTTTCTACCCAATTTCTCTCTCAAATGCGTTTTAATTTCGGAATACATTTAAACTTCTAATACACCTTATATTACTTCTCCAAAGGTTTCTCAACCTTTCGGATTCAATGAGATAGCCTTATTTTGATCTAAAAACATTCAAAAACTTACCTAACCACCACTTTCAAGCTTCAACACCTCCGAAACTAAATTTAACACAAAAGTCAATGCGTTCGAAACTTAAACTTCATAATCAATCTTTCAATAATAATTCAAAGTTTTTATTATCCTTTTATTCATCTTATGAAAAATCTTAAGATAATATTATCCTTATTTAATTATAATATAGTGGTCTTACAATTTTCTTCAATATACACCTCACTTCTC